AATTTAAACATTAAAAAATCAGTACTTAGGAGTACTTAGGAATAAATCTAATGATCTATGTGCAAGTTCTCTTTAGAGAAATTATAAAACTTTATTGGGAGACATTAGGGAAGACAAATCAATGTAGAGATTAATTATATTCAGAGAAAGACTTGATACATAAGGATGCAAATTTTCCATAAGTTGATTAATAGATTTCATAAAATTCCAGTAAAATTTCAGGAAATTCAATAAAAATTTCAAGCAGGGTACGTATGACTTGACGAGCTGGTTCTAAGATTTATACAGAAGTACAAACATCTAAGGATAGCAAATATACTCCTGAGTACAAAAGAACAGGTAGGTGACTTGTTCTGTAAGGTGTCAAGATTATTACAAAGATAAAATTTGTAAGCTCAAGGGTGGTGTCTGTCTGAGGCAGACAAAGCTGACCAGTGAAACAAAATGGAGATCCAGAAACATCCATGTGTATGTGGAAACCTAATATATATTAGGTTTCCACATACACATACCTAATATATGATGCCTGTGTGCTTTTAGATCACTGGGGAAAGGATATCCTATCTAATAAAAGGTGCTGGGCCAACTGGTTACCCACAGAGAAAAAAAAAATTGGATGCCTACTTCACAAAACTCAAAAGTCAAAGATCTGCTTGTGAAAGGCAAACCTACAAAATGTTAAAGAGACTGTGAACTTGGAGTAGGAAGGGATTTCAAAATGTTCAAAAAAATTGCTAACTTAGAACACATTAAAATAAGAACACATAAACACATGTTTATGAAAAGTCACCATAAAGAAAGTGAAAGCAAGTATCAAACTGGGAGAAGCTATTTGTGCACAATAAACAGACAAAGGGTTAATATAAATTTTTACAAGGAATTTCTACAAATCAATAAGAAAAAGACAAAAAAATATGACTATATATTTGAATAGGTACTCCACAGAAAAGAGAAGGGAAACAAGGGAAATAGGCTAAGTCTTATTAGTAATCTGAGAAATGGGAATTGAAAGCACAGTGCCCTCTTGGTTAATGAAATTTAAAAATCTGAAAACCCTAGGCGAGGTTGTAGAGCGATGAAATCACATTAATGGCTGCTTTGGAAAGCAATGGCATTACCTGGTAGAGTGGAAGCTGTGCATACTTTTGAACCAAATATTCCTAAATTAGGTACATATCCTAAGAATTACTGGTACAAAGTATAAAAGGAGATATGGACAAGAGGGATTCTAGCAGCATTGTTGGTACAAAAAGAACTAGAAATAATGCAAATGTCAATTAACGATAGACTGGATGACTAAATGGTGGTATATTCATATAATAGCGTACTACACAGCAGAGAAAAGGAGTTATAGCTACTCACACCAGCACTGATAGATCATAGAAACATAATGTTTGATGGAAAAAGTCAGTTGCAGAGTAATTCATAAGCCATGATTCCATTTACATAAATTCTCCAAACGTTCAGAAGTAAACAATATATTGTTTAAAGATTCAAATGTGATAAACTCAAGAAGAAAAAGCAAGGGAATGATAAACAGAAAATTCAGGAAGGTGGTTATCTCTGGATAGGGGCTGGGAAAGGGAGAAGAGTGCTATTAGGGAAGTATCCTCAAGGGCTTAAAAAATTCTGATTGTTTTATTTTTTTAACCTTAATGAAGGGTACTCAGATGCTTATTATTTCATCATCCTTTGTGTGTTAACATGATAAAAATTCCTTTATATCAGCTCACTATTCAATAAAAACAATCCGAAGAATATTTGATAAAAACTCAGCTGTAATGTCCTTAGCCGATAAACTCTCCCTTCTTTAAATTCTGAATGAGTTACTGTTGCTGCTGTTTTATTTTGCCGCCTGCAATTTAGGGATTAAACTAAGCTCACCTAACAAAGAAATTTGCCCAGAGATGAAAAAGTATTCGCTCATATTGCTCGTGTGTGGAATGCAGGGTAAGGATAGAAATCAGGGTTTTGCATATACAGACGATCAGAACAAGGACCGCCTCTGAATTCAACGAATGAAAAAAATGCGGAATTGCCTTCAACTTCCCTTGAGCCATAAGACATTTGGTTTCAGAATTTCCAGTGGACTTTTCCTTCCACTTGGTTGCTCTGCCTGTCTGTAGGCTACTTCCTGATGTTCCAGCTTTTGAGGAATCCTAGGGAAGCCCGTATCTTGACAAGCTTGGCTGTGGTCTGGCAAAGAGGTGGTGTGGAGTGGAGCTGAGGACTTCTGGCTGCCTGGCCTCTGGGATTGCTGTAGGAACCCAGCTGCAAAAGCCAGACAGACCCACAGAGGCCAGGTTTGCAGAACAAGAAAGTGAAGGTGGAGCAATTACCAGCAGTTCTGGGCAGTGCTGCCAGACAATGTAGGTAATTTATTTCCAAGTAATTAACTTGAGGACCTTAATTATCTAGACTCATTATCAGCCATCATCACCTTCATTATCACCATGATCACTGCCACTAAGAGCATCTTAAGAGAGCAATAGATGCTGTTCCAAATCGCTTTTAGAATCTGAGTCCTATCCTACAAGAGTCTTGACTTAGGCAGTGAAGGTGAAGGTGTGGTCAAGGGAGAGGTACAGACGAATGAACCAACGTCAAACTAAGGATACTGGCTTAGTAGCAGATTCTGTTGCTGTATCCATTGGCTGTTTTTCCATTTGTCTTTGACTTTCAAGGCTAAAACCAGGCGGATTGATTTCACGGGCCTTGGCATTTCTACCCCATAAATAAAGCTTGCTGAAAATTATTTCTTATAGTCAGTATTGTAATTATTTTAAATCTCATAGTTACTGGAATCATAATTTGAAAATAAAAAATGAAAGTAAGTAATTTAAGAGTTTCATATAATTTTAATGGTGTAGAATATGAAGCTAATTATTGGCTACCTTTAACTCCACAAACATTGCCCATATATCATATCCACATGTTTACTATCTCTCCTCTGATATGCAATTTTCAGCTGTAATTTAACACAGTCTCTCCCCTGCAGGCTTGGACCTTGACTGCTGCTCCAAGTGTCTCATGTTTGAAAGAGCCTATGTAAGCTATGGGTTGGATGCAGGGGAGAGAGAATATGACCTTGAGTTCAAATTCTGATTCCATCACTGGCTAGTTGTCAGACCCTGGGAAGTTATTTAAAATCTCTGCTCCTCAGCTTCCCCATCTGTAAAATGGACACAATAATCTCTATCTTATAAATGAAGAGAGCAGTTTATGTAAAACATGTAATATATAGTAATTGCTTCTTAGGTGTTAAGCTTTTTGTAAAAAAGTTATATATATATCAAAATATACTTAATTAAATTATTCAATGAGAATAAATAGAGGGTGAAATAAATCACACTTCACCTGCTCTGATGAAGTCTTCAAAACCTCAGACAGGCTAGCCACTGAAAGTCACAATATTGCTGTAGGGAAACAAAACCTCTGCCATTTTTCACCATCACACGTCGGTGGGCTTTTTTCTTTTATTTAGGAAATGAGATGACATGCAAAATATGGAATTTTCAAATGACACACCAAGTTTTAGTCTTACAGTAAAGATCTTGCTGAAAGAGGATTCACTTACTTGGCTTGAAAGCAAATGAAAAATAACTTGATTAAGCATTGAGAAAAAGCATGTGGAAACCTTGAGATGAACAAAGATAGGGAATTTTCAGTTGATCTTGTGTTGTGATGAGCACTAGGACTTTGTTCAAATGCTAGTTGCCTTCTGGGCTGTAATTTTACTTAAACATCATATCATTCTTTTTCCCATAATTAAGATAGTATAACACATTACAAAGGACTTGGAAAATGGAGAACTGAAAAACATGTTTTTCCTTCCCAGCTTTCTCCTATATATATATATTTTTGTTGCTGCAATCATAGTTTGTATGTAATTTTTCAACTTGATTTTTCAGTTACTATTATGTCAAAGCATTTTTAAGTGCTAAGTGATATATTACATTCCATGATTTATTTAACAGATTTTCTATTATAAATACTAAAGTTGCTTCCAAGTTTTTTTTTGCTGTGATATATAGTTACTGCAAAGAACAATTTTGGTTTCAAAATTTTTCAAAGGATTTTCTCTGTAGGGTAATACTTTAAAAGGAAAAATAAAAGTACCTCTTCTCAAAACTGCATTCACGTAAACCTCCCTCAGGTCCCTTCTTGTGTCCAGCACCATTTATCAAGCCTGGTTTCTATTGGATTCTGCAAAGTTGCAATATGCTGGTATAGATAGTGTGTTTTAAACTTCACCAAACCCAAGAAATAGTGTAAGGTCAATGAGAAAAGAGAGAAGGAGAAGAAAACAAATGGAGAAAAAAACGAATATTTAAAAATGGCCAGAGAATTTTATGAATAGATTTATTCCCTAAACCCAGGTGGGGGCGGGGAGCTGGACTGAGCTGTGTAATTGTCATTTTGTCTTTTATGAACATTGCCTTTGCCTTTCAATCTTTCTTCTCAGTCCTGCATTCCTCCCTTACCCCAGACTATTCTTCTAAGGACTTTGAGGGCTCTATGGACTTGTCCCTCCTCTTTTCATCCTCACATAGCTTCTGCTTTCCTTCCCTGCCGTATGTCCTTGAAATGCAACTTTCATCATTTTGGTTCAGTATTTACTGAGCATTTACTGTGTGCCGGGTGCAGTGGTGGGGGCTGGAAATTCAAAGGCGAGTAAACCACAAAGTCTGTGCTGGTCAAGAGGACGGTGGGAGGCTGTGAGTGAATGGATATCTGAAAGCAGGACTGGAGCTAGCCAAGTGATGAGTGGGTGTGGATGTGCACGGGTGAAGGGCATTTCTGACAAGGAACAGCCCTTGCAAAACTGCACAGAGAGTGCAAGGGGAAAGGCCAAAGTTTCAGAAAGCCTACTCCCTCGGTGTAGAGCCCACCTCACGTTAACACTTGTGAAACACAAAGCTCAGTTGCCTCATGCTTTCCTACTGGCTGGGTAGTCAGGTTAAATGATTCTGAAAAGCCCCCGAATCCCCGTGATTTACCTTTTCTCATCATGTCTGTAAGATGAAGAGGTCCGGCCACTGGTCCATATAAACATCTTAGAGGATGTTGGTCCAGGGGCTCCTTTCCTTATGGTGGAAGTCCTGGAGGAATGGCGGAAAGACCTAGATGGGAACACACTGAAGTTAAATCCATTACCTTAAGTTTGGGAACTCTGTATCAACAGCAACCAATAGCTTTAGTGGACTGACTCTCTTAAATAAGGCCAGGTTTCTGTTGCTACAGAGCAGTGCTTCTCAACCCTGGCTGCACATTAAAATCAAGTTTTTCGAAAGGTTCCTCATTGTTTCTAACGCACTGCTAGGGTTGAGAGCCACCGCCATAGGGAAACATGGCTTTCTAATGATGTTAGCATCATATTCCTTCCCCACAAATCTAATTTTCGTATGGTTTCACACCCTGTAGTACACTGTATTTTTCCAAAATTTTGGTTCAGATTTAGATACTAAAATTCTATTTCTCCTTTCCTATTCAAACTGTTTTCCTTGATGCTGACAGGTGTGACATATTGGTGACAAAACATCATCTTTTAAATATGCTCTGCTGTTGCCAAAGCTGTGGGTTTGTTCCATGGTGGCCGAGTATCTGAGGAAGTCACAGAAGCAGAAGATGAAGCAGATACTCTCTGGCTCCCAGAGGCTAAGTTTATAGGATCCAGAGTCAAGCTCTTGGAGGAATGTTGTATTCTCTTGGTTAGGATTTGGCTTATGGGTTTAATTTTTTCATCTCCAAGCATAGCACTGAAAGTAGTTAGCTATTATAATTTATTTTCTACATAATAACCATTTTCTAGGGATTTAGAAACATGAAATCTCATAGAAATTGTAATCACATCTGAAAGTTAAAATAATATTGAGCTAATAGAACAAAGGAAGGAAGGAAAGTGATTTCTTCATGATTCACAATCACTTGTGGCTTTCCTTCTGGTTGAACACTATATTAACGGGAGGCATGAGACTGGAAATATTAGCTATTATATGATATATTAGCTACTACATGTCAGGCACTTTGCATATATTATTTATGCATATATCATGAGATGTATATGCATACATTTATGTTGTGCTGATATTATGAAAACTGCAAGGTGGATGGTGCTATTATTTCCAGATTATGAATGATGATTCCAGGAGATTGAGATATTTGCTCAGATTTAGAAAAAGTGAAGCCATGCTCCAAAACCAATGTCTGCCTGCTTCCAATTTTCATGCTCTCTGTAGAAAGATATATTATGGTCTTAGCCCAGTGATTCTCAAACTGTAACATGCATATGAATTACCTGGAGGATCTTATAGCAATGGGGATTCTGATTCAGTGGGGTCTGGGGTGGGGCCTGAGTTTCTGCATTTCTAACAGCTCTCAGGTGATGCTGATGTTGAAGGTCTGCAGAAAACACTGAGCAGCAAGGGCCGAGCAATGGTCTTAGAGTGAGTAGTTGGCTAGAGGCCCAATTTTGTCACTACCTAGCTGTGTGGCCTTAAGAAAGTCACTTAACTTTACTAGGGCTTGGCTGTTTTTAATCTGTAACATAGAAAGTGTGAAACAGAGAACCTTTACGATTGCTCTCAGTTCCAACATTTTGTGATTCAGGAAATGGCAGAATGAATCTAGGCATATTCAAGGCATTGTGTACTGCCTTTCTGGGATTAGGTCTAGGAATAGATCTCCTTCTGCAACCCTGGGGTCAGCATCGGAGATAGACGGAACAGAGGCCAAGAGGATAGCAGGGGCTTGGTAACCCATATAGATGCAAGAAGTCATCCTCCCATCCCTGGTCTCCTAGGATAAATGGTGGGAATTAAAGGATACACCTAAACAGATGCCCTCACCAGTTTTAGAAGGGCTTAGAAGTAGAACCTGCTAGCTCTTTAAATGACTGGATCTGAGATATTTAGTTAGTTATGTTCCTTTTTGAAGATCCTTAAAACATATAAAATAAGATAGAGATTAAATCCATTATTAAAGCCAGTTAGCCTTCAGGAAATTAGAATGATTTGAATCTACGTTGAATGACCTACTCCATAAGAATGAGGATTGACTTAAACTTCCAGGAAGTTATTTCAACACTGACTCTGGCGGAATCTTCTGCTCACCTTAGTCACTCCTAAAGGACTAAGGATGTGGAGTAGACGGAAAAGTGACACAATCTTGAGTTAAAGTAAAGCAATAGATTACTGAGGTCCTGCCTTGTTACTCGTTATTAACCAGCATTTCATAGACACACCATACATATTATAAATGCTTTGAAATCATTCCAAGGGAAAGGAGCTGCAATGATCTTAATATATTTAGGATACTTTCAGACTATGTGTCATTATTCTAGTGTGGCACCCTTGCTCTGTTGTTTTAAGACGATATGGAAAGGGGAAGATGAAAGATGTATTCATTCTAATTAACTGTCTAAAGCTTGTTGGAAAGGAGTTAATGACTCCTCGGGTTAGTCCAATAAGTGGATTTGGAGTTTCTCCAGCCCAGTTTTCTTTCATAAAGACAAACTATTATTTAAACCCTGCTAGGTTTGTTGTTAATTAAAATTAAAGGGAGTAGCTGCTTTAAGGACAACGGTATAAAGGTTCTGTGGAAGTTGAAAAAATTTCCAGGCTTCAAAAAAACACCCAGGATATGTTAATGGAAGCTGGTTTGGAGGTTTTCTCGGCTCAAAGGCAGTCCTCCTGAACTGTTACATAATTACCTCAACTCCGCTCACTTTCTAAGACAAGGAACATCTCATTTGAGTTGTGATAAGGAAAGTGATAAAGAGACAAAAAGACACTTTCTACAACTTTGTAATTTGGAATCCTAGCATCAGCAGAGTTCTGCGTTAGCGGAGACACGGGCTGTGGGCAGCGCGAGGCAGCCTGGATCCAATTCCATCATGAAGGGACCTAGGACTTGCAGTGAACCTGGCAGAGCCAGGACCATATGACTGCAGATGAATGAAGTCCGAAAACCAGCAACCCTAAAAGATGCTATCTCAGCCTTGGATGAAAGCAGTTTATCCGTGAGACTGTAACAATTTCTTTGGGTCAAGAAACTATAAAGGGCCTCTTTCCATTGCTCAAGCACACCCCTCGTGGGTTTCTACTTCCTCGACTCAATTTGCACCTTCTCTCTGCCTCTCTTCCCCACCTGGTGAATGAAAGCCTTTGTTTCCGGGGCTGGCTCAGATGTCACCTCTTCTGTGAAGCCTTTCTTTGACCCAGGTTGGCAGCTTCCTCCACTCTGCTCTTAATTCTTGGTATTCAACCTCTGTTAGAGCAAAGCATGCTGTATCCTGCTTGTACACAAATCTGCCTCCCCTGCTAGTCTGTGGGTAATGCAGGGCAGGGCTGCTCCTTACGCACCTTTATGGCACAATGCAGTTCACACAACGCCACCCTGGTTATGTTTGCTGCCCGACCATCTCACTATCCATTTGAAAACATGACTGTCGATATGACTTTGGCCTCCTGCGTTGGGATCACTGCTCCTGGGTGCAGCTGTGGCTCCTTCCTGACCCTTCCCTGAGCTCCAGATGTCCTTCCCCCTTCCTATTCCCACTTCCTCTTGCTCCTTCTCCTGACTCTCCTGCTCCCTCTGTCTTTTTTCAGTGACTTGGGCAGAAAGTTCTATTGCTCGCTGAATTATCATCCAGTAAGATTTTCTTTAGAAAGGCAGCATGGTCCCAGGAGAGCCAGATGGGGCCTATGCGTTTGTTTGCCTCCTGGCATCACCACCTCCCAACTATGTGACTTCAGACAAGTCAGTTGAACACCACTACGTCCTTGTTTCCTCAGCTGTAAAACTGGGAATGGTGACATTTGTTTTTCTGGGTTGCTTGGAGGATTGATGAAATAACAGATGCAAAATACCTAAAGTAGGATCAAGGCACATAGTAGGAACATACTAAACATCAGTTTCTTTCTTTTTTCCTCTGTTATTAGTTTTGATGGCAAATGGACTGGATTTTTTAATCTTTTTTTAAAAAAAATCCAATTAACTTGTTTTGTACTTGTACATCGAGATTATTGATTTTTTTTTCCTATGGGTCAGTGGCTCTCAATAGAGGAAAAACAGTTTTCTCAGATACAAAGATAATAAAATCTGAAGTACTTCCTCATTCACATTAAGTTCTGATACCTATCCTGAGCAAGAAGAGCAGAAAGAGAGCGTCCCTGAACCCTGGCCATACATTACAATCATCTGGGGAAATGTCTAAAAAATACTGGGTCTCTAGCCAGACCAGTAGAACCTTTGGGGTGGGGCCCTGGCATTGGAATTTTGAAAAAAGCTGTTCGGGCATTCTGCATCGTGGTTGCAGCCAGGGTGAGAAACAATTGTTACAAACGCTCAGGTTCTGATTTCATTTCATTTGAATCCTTTATGGAGACTCCTCCTGTCTCTAGAAGCTTCATCAGGGGAGTAACAGTTCTGAGTCCTACTCTGTGCAGTGGCTTCTCCACTGGTATCCATGTCGAGGCCTTGAGGTGACAGCCACAAGGACAAGTGGCATATGAGGCAGGGAAAGAGCATGCGGTTGCAGTTTTCTGGCGTCAGTGGCCTTGAGCTATGCATATGGGATGCTCTTAATGCACTCTGCTTTATTAAACAGCAAGCAGGAGCCAGCAGAACTATTTAACACATAATTACATGTCTAATCTTGCGTAAAATTGTAACACTAATGACATCACAGCAGCAACTTAAAAGGTCACTCTGAGCACAGAAATTTAGGAATGCTTCTAATCTGTGACACTTTATCTTTGCAGATGGCAAATTATATGTTCTCCATAGGAACTGAGTTGTTTTGTCTTCAGGGCCTTTGGTGGGAGAAGCCAAATGTATGGTGATAATTTTAGACCTAGTGATTGAATTTAGAAAACACTGGTCCATCTTAAGAGTAGTTTTAAATGTCTTAGGGATGTTTTATTCTCAAAATAAACTAGTATGTTTTGTTTTAATTCATTTGGGTGTCCATTTGGTGGCATTTCTTAAGTGTCTTGTAGGTGCCAGGCACTGTACTGGGTGATGGGGGCACCAAGCCACCGTTTATCTGCTTCCAAGGAGTGCACCATCTATGGAGGAGTCAGGATAATAAATCAACATTCACTGTACCAAAACTGCTCTT